GATCAGTTGGTAAAAATAGTGTTTTGTTTGCAGGTTGCTTTGAGTAGTAATTATTTTAGCCATCTTGGTTTTTTCATTAGTGGATATCTCATGGTTTAAACTTTCTTACAAGTGATGGTATGTGTTAGTGCTATTAATAATAGTAGAGCTAGTAATTGTGAATACAACCCATGAACAGTTATTTTTGGAAGAGTAATTCTTTCAGCTTAAACCATTTTAAATTCCTTAGGCAAATAATTTTATTATTATCTTAAATTCAGTCTCCTTGTCTGCTTCCTATAAGCTTTAATCAGTTTAAAATATTATACATCGTTTATAAATCTATACGCCCATGTCTACTTACTTAGACACGGAAAATTGATCATATCTCATAATCTATTCTAATATATCATTCTGTATATGCGGTATCTCTGAAAATCCAACACGAAGACGTAATTTCATCCTTAAGATTTTATTAAGCCTTTGAAAAAAGAAACAAGTAAAAGCCAGTCGGCTACAATGAAATCTCCTCTTACATATTTTACAGGCAGAACAGGAAAGCCTTCATAAAGTATTTAGGCATAAATAACTCAGCTGAGAGAACACAATACAACCGAAACCATCCACCTGAGCTACAAATATTCTCCACCATTTCAAAGACAAATACACACAAACATTGTATAACAAATATATGAGAAAACAAAGCAGGAAACCAAAATGCCTGGTTAGTATCAGTGTGTTAGGCTACCTGTGAGATTGTTCTACTGCATTCTTCTCTAAAATGCGTATTTATGGACCAGTATTTTGCTTTATGACAATATGCATCATTTTCCTATTTAATGATTTGCTATAAAGATAGTGAAAACAGTAGAATGTTTTGGCTTTCCTGATTTCCTGTTTGTCTAATTTCTTAACATACAGACATTGTATAATTTTGAGTAATTTTACTTTTATATAAGTTCAGTACCTGCCCAGTCATCTGATGATTATAAAACTTGGTGATTCGAGTGGTTTTCATCAGCCCATTTTTTCTTTCATTTTGCGATAGGTACTTAGGGCTTTATTGGTCACAGTGGGATTTTGTATAATCCTCATCTACTAGTCCCTACTCATACTTCAGATTATTATACGCTCTTCAAAATCAACGAGATGCTTTGAATAGAACGCAGAAAATATCAAACAACTCTGTTAGTTAGCCTGTGAATTCATTTTTTGTGTCTTGAGGAGTAAGGAGAGTGCTTATCACTACAATTTACCAAGCCCAGTGAGCATTTCACTTCATAAAAAGGTGTTAGGATTCTGAATACTTTGGTTAATTTCTGAAACTGTCAAGGAAATAATTCATTGTTATTCGACTATCTGATATAGCCGTAGTTTGGCAAACTAGTATTTATACTGGGTGATGATTGAAGGTGAAATGAAAATCTGGACCACGGCATGATTCCAACCAGCGATCAGTTAAGAAAACTGCTTATTGTGCCTGTGTAGTTATAACATCATTTAAATGGTTACGAAGTTCAATCGATGGCCTGAGCACCTGGACATCCCAAAAACAGTTCAGTAAACCAGTTCATTTGTCCATCTCGTTAGTAGGAAACAGGCGTCTTACCTCATCAGAAATGTTCACTGACATTTGTATGAACCTTTCTGACAGTAAACTGTAGTAACAGAACGTAGGACCTTTCACTCAATCTGTTCAGAATAAAAGTTTTCATAAGAGTGAAACTTTCTGTTAAGGAGAAGTTTAAAATGATTTTTAGTTGTCTGCTTGTTTCATTTGGCTCCTTAAATATTTGCTTCACCATTATTTGATAAAAAGATATTTTTCATGTGTTTTTAAAATTATATGACTGAAGTATTATAAGGTTACTGACAACCTGTGGCTATAGTGTAACCTTAATTAAATTAAATTTCAAAATATGAGTACCGTCGTTCAATATTTCTTTCAAATCTTTCTGCATTTACATCTTAAATACCTTCTCATTTTTTATTCATGAATTGTAACTCTCATCTGTGGAAGTGACTTAGTGAACACTGGAAGCTGCAGAAAATGAAATAGTCTCGATGTTCCGAGGAGAAATCTGTCAACAATAATATCTTTTATGAATTTTACCTCAGTAAATCTAATAACCGGACAAATTTAATTTACTTTTGGGGTGAGGAAGCATTAAAATTATAAACAGCACCCTATCTACAGAAAACCAACACATTCCAACAGGTATCTAGACTTCCAGTCATCCTATCCAATGTCAGTTAAGGCAGGATTAGTCAAATGTCTAAATGATATAGTTAGAAAACTGACTAGTCAAACCATGAACCTAAACAAGGAATTAAAACACGAAAAAGAAGCGCTAATATTTAATAATTAGCCTGCGCAGTTTATTAAGAAGTTCTTACGGACACACAGAAAAAGAAAAAATAACAGTCACACGAGTGTGACTAATAACAACAGCATGAGTAAAAAGGAGTTCACAGCTTCCATTATGTTACCCTATAAGGAGGGTACCTCAGAAACTTTACGTAGGATACTCAACAAAGCTGGAATTAGGGCAGCATTTAAACCTATAAACTCACGCAGAGATAAGCTTTGTCTGCTTAAGGATCCAACAGAACCAATTAAGCAAAATAATATAATCTATCAAAATCCATGTAATGACTGTGAGGTCAAGTATATAGGTCAAACTAGTCGGTCGGGGTCAGTTAAAATAGCAGAACATAGGAATTTAGCTAAATATAGAATAACAGACCTAAATAAGACCAATAATCTCAAACAGCTCGTCTATTGCAATGCATGCATTAACACACAACCACACAATAAGGTGGGATAAAACCACTGTACTTATGTCCAATACAATTAGGTGGAGAGAGAGATTGATTACTGAATCTTTGTTCATCGAATCAAAACTCAATACATGTAATATGAATGATGCAATACATATGGCAGAGATATGGAAAATTTTGCTACCAATAAAAAAAACTCATATGAAGTGACGTAACTATAAAAACTATATGTCGAAAGTAGTGTGATAACATTGATATGATTATGAGCAATATTTTATGATCGAAATGTAAATAAATGTAAATGTAAATAATACTAGATCACTGTCTGTTGTAAGTCAAATAAACAAACTGAATATGGAATTAAATCCTACCACAGTGCCAAAGTTTTACACCTATATTAGAGTGGGTGATTAGGTTTTCGAAAAACATTCAAATATGTAACGATCTTTTGAGATTTAAAATTTCTTTATTCAACTGCATTGGAAAAGTGAGCAAACTTGACTTCCTACTTGTTAGTGACTAATACTGGAATCCTTAAAAAAGTATTTCTTCAACTGTGCATGCATTCGCTTAAGTAATTTCCACATCATTATCTCACCACTAGCTTCACAGCATTATTGACCAATTTACTAAGGTAAGGCAGTTGTAACTTGTTAAAAAGGCAATAAATGACATTGAACCTTAGGGTTCAATGCTTTCGATCTTACCATCAGATAAAACATTAGGCATTTCAGACTCAACTTTTCTTACAAAAACCCTGATATGATTTTTTACTTCTGCTTGACACTAAATAGCAGGAATTAGATATAAAATGATGATGCGTCCTCTCGATAAAATGGTTCATAGAATTCAGTCAACACTTAGGACTAAACAACATAAAATTGATTACTTTCCAGTGATCAATCAAAGCATTCTGACAAATATTTACCGAAACAATCTTGGTTTGAGATATACTCAGCTGAATTAAGTACAGGTTGTAGAGAATGGAACATCTAATTCTAATCTCAGTCAGATCCATTTTCCTGTTGGATGTGAACAACTGACAGACGGAGGTTTATGTCTAAAAATTACTTGCTAAGATAATAAACAGTTACTTTCAAAATTTGGGCAAGAGTGAGTTCCATTATTCCTTGATATTTCCATTTTTTGATGTCATGAAAATGTTTAGTCATAGCAGTATTGAAATAAACTTTCGATATTCTTTCACTTAGAAAGTAAATGGTCTTTTTCACAAACAGTAGACCAACTGAAAATATATATTTTTAAGTTTTCCCTATCGAAACTCACAGGCTTTGTTGTACAGCTGTAACAGTACAATTTTGTTACAAATAACTCCGGTCTATCTGCAAAAATATGGTATTTCTAAATAACTTACGTAAGGCGAATTGATGAAAAGAAAACGGGAAGTAGACTTACTTCAGTCTGTTTTTTCAAACATGTAATTCATTAGATTTTATCTGTTGCGCATAAATTTTCCGACAAATCCAGTACTCTTGCATCATTCTGTCTAGTATTGGGCAAAATTACTTGTTGATTTACAATATAAACTACGAAAGTCATTGACGGAAAAAGCAAATATTGTAACATGATTTCTTTTTTAGCTGTAACCGATGAAGCTATAAGTCACGTTAATAAAAACTGCTCACGCTTCACTCACTCAGTTTATTGTTGATGTAAACAATGAAAGATTGGCTTATTTGAGAAGTCTGTAAAAGATATTTAGCTACATTTCTGCATGTGTCTACATTAAATTTGAAATTTAAGATTATATACTTAAAACACCTATGTCTAATCACAGTCTTTTATATGAGTTGTACATTTATGCACTTTATTTAGTTTAAGGTAGACTTTTAGAAGTGTCTGCGTATTCGGAATTCTATTTTCCATATACTCTTTTGTTTTTCATCGCATAAGTCGACATATTACTGGTTTCCTGAACAGTGGAAACAAACCGAATTTCAAACTGGTGTATCTAGTGAAGCAAAGTGACCCATTCAAAGAAGTGTAACCAAGTTTGAATTTCGGCGTGCATTGTAAACTTTCATGCTGTCTGGAAAACGAATTCAATGTTCTGTTGGATAATGATGCCAACCAAAGACAAGCAAAGGAGTTTAACTGCTTGGTAGTAGTTTATTTTTTATGCATACCTACTAATTTAGACTACTTCTCGGTTGCTTATTTAAGTAGTTTCTTATCGCCATTCTTGTTATTTACTAATATTCTCTCTCCCTTGTTTTCAGGTACTGGCTCATTGTTATTTGAACATTTACTGCTATCAGATGAAGGGCATTATGAATGCCTAGTATCCAACCAAGCCGGATCAGTAATAAGTTCTAAAGCGTATCTAAAAGTTAAAAGTGAGCTATGTATTCATCTCTGTGTATTTATATACTACTTGCCAAGTGAGATTTAGCTTATGCTTTGTTGAGAATACTTAAGTATTTATATTCGTGACTGGGTAGTTGATGCTCAAGGGAGTTGCCTTAAAAAAATAATGTTTACTCTTCATGAAAAAATTCTCAAAATGGATGGTTATTATCCCACAAGAGTTAAGTTACAATAACAAATTGAGATGTAAATGTGTTCCTAATGGATTACTTTTAGCTCTTTTTCCGATAATTTAGTGAATTCTTAAGAAATACAAAAAAAATTAGCAAGTGATATTATGTCACAACTGAGATGATTCTTATACACACTTCAGAAAGTAGATCAGGCACTGTAGAATGAAAAAAATACACAGCACTCCCATTCCTACTTCTTATCAAATAGGTCGCCATATCTGGAATCCAAACTATGTTATTTCAGACTGTAGTGCATCACGTTCGTTGTTGGAAAGCGGTAAACCGTAGTCCTGTCTGCTAGTAATCTTTGGTTAAAAAGATTCTAATTTCGAATAATATGCAATATTTGTTGAGTGTTTAAATGAACAGTAGTAATTGATTTATCACAAACCATCGTCCATTAACGTTTATTTTAGATACTTACTTTGTGCCAAAGATAATCGATAAAGTTGATCAAGTTGGAGTACGTTCTGGACATAATGCGAATTTAACTTGTCGGGCAGCAGGAAATCCAGCTTCAACTACAAGATGGCTTACTGATAGTGAACGTCCCATTACAGATTACACCGAAGGCATATCTACACTATATTTGGCTGACATTACAGAGCCTGCAAGATATATTTGTGAAGCAAATAATAGTCTAGGAACTGTACAACATCCAGTTAGAGTTCAGATAATAGGTGGGTGAAATGATTCAACAAAATAAAAAACTTTATAATTGTAAAATATCTTATCGAAAGGAATCTTCTCCCTATCTCACAGTTTTCACTACTTTTAGAGTCAAAAAGAAACAAGATGAAACAATGATCACTTTTTGCCATGTTATGCTTCGAAAAGTATTTTACATCTGTAAGCTCAATGATTTTTACTTGTGAAATCTTAGCATCTATAAATCCTACACACAATTATATAGCGGTTATTTATATAAAATTGGGAACCGCTAAATAAACAACTTATAAATATTATGTATCCCTTGGGTTCCTAGTGGAATATAGGTCTTCAGTTGCACGCCTCCAGTGCACTCTCTTCTCTGAAGTCTCCTTTACCTGGCTCCACAACTGTCCACAAGCTTCCATTTCATCCTCACGTGATCTCCTCCATATCACCCTCACCGCGGACGCCCAACTAGCCGTCTCCCCATTGCCTTCCACTCGACCACCTGGCCTGTCACGTGATATCCCCACTCGGCATTCTCAGTGTATCCCCAATCCAATCCAATCCATCTCCACTTCCTTCTGCATATCTCTTGGGCTACAGGTCCTTGGTTGGTTCGTTGACCGGCCAGAGTGAGTTCCCAGTTGCTCATTCTTATTATTCTGGCCATCTGATCGATATTCACTATCGATTGAGAGTAGGCGGAAACTGTTGATGAATGTCTGTAGTGTGTTGAAAATACTTCTCGTGACGCGCCAAGTTTCTGAAGCATCACACAGAGGTACTGACTTGACGGACATTGGTGAAGAAAATCCGAATCTTGCACTTTATACTGAGCAGAGTCCAGTGCAGTAGATCTCCACACTGATTTCACACTAATGCAGGAATGCCTATCTTGCTGTCTTTCCAATCTTGGCTTTGACGTCCGCATCTGTGCCTGTGCCACCGCCTATAGTTGAAACGATGCTGCCTTGCCTGGGTAGATGAAAGATACTGCTTCCTTTAGATTCCTCCTCTTCATGATGATTGGTGCTTGTTGTTGTTGCTGTTATCGCTTGGGTATCTTCACCACCTCTGTCTTCTCTACGTTCACCTGAAGGAAGTCCCATCTTTATTGCCTCTCCTCTCCTCTCCTCTCCTGCCAACTTGCTGGTTTTCACCTGTAGATCTTCGAGTTTGTGTGACAAGACATACACATAAATCACCATCTTCAGTGAAATTCAAATCTTCTCCTGAGGTCTTTTCATCCGTCCAGCCACCGTATGCCCATCTTCTCGCTCCTCACACTTTGCTACATGATCCACTCCACTCCAGTCCAGCCCAGTCCAGTCCAGTCCAGTGGACCACAGTCAGGAAGATGATCGGTGAGAGTAGGCGGCAGCCTTGTCTTACTCCTTCCTGTCTTCACTTCAAAGGCGTCACTGAGCTTTGCATTGTGAATCACTTGGCACTTAGCATCATATAGCGTAGCATAGCATAGCACAGCATAGCATAGCATAGCATATAGCTGGTGTTGAATGAGGTTGATAAAGGTTTGTGGCACTAAAACCGTAGTGTTGAAGCAGTTGCCTGCCAAATTACTTCTCGGTCGACGCTGTCGAAGGCCTTTTCAAAGTCGATGAAGTTGAAGTAGAGTTGAGTTGACCGCCACTCTATGCTCTGTTCTATGATGATGTGCAGTGTAGCGTTGCATTGAAACTTGACCCGCACATGATTTGTTCTTCCCGTAGCCAGCCAGCCAGCCAGCCTGTTCCGATAATAGTTTTGATTCCGGAGCATTGTTTAGACCTTCCAGGATGATGCGGCATAATATTTAGCTTGGTTTGGGTGGACAGGGATAGTAGCATGATTCCACGCCAGTTCATGCAAAGGCCTAGGTCGCCCTTCTTTGGCAGTTTGACAAGGTAGCCCTTCTTCCAATCTATTGGCAGATACCCTCCCCTCCTTCCTTGCAAACCTTCCGCAGTAGTGGTGTGAGCATGTCTACTGTTGTCTCTGCATCTGTTTTCAGTACTCCGGAGGAATTGCATCTGGCCCTAGTGCTTCCCCGGATTTCAGCAGTTTTGTGGCGTTCACGACCTCACTTCTGCTTACGTCGGAGGGCTTGTGTTCATTGATAGTAGTGTGGCTGGGTTGCTGGTGGTATTTCTGACGAGTTGCAGGTTTCGGTGATGGTGATGGTGATGTTGATGGTGATGGTGGTGGTGGTGGTGGTTGATTCAAGAGTCTTTCGAAGTGGTCAGCTCATCGTTTCCTTCGTTTCTCCTCTTTGGTGACTAACTTTCTTCCACTATCTTTCATTGGTTTCATCTGTGTCGACCTCTCCCCTCCCAATAGTAACCGGTTATTTGATATAATGTTATCAGGTCTCTGTCTCTCCTACCAGCAGCCCGTTCCGCTTCACTTGTCAGTGTGTCATAGAAGTGTCTTTCGTCTTTGCGCGCACTCTTCTCCACTTCTTTGTCCAGTGTAGTGAGTGTTTTCTATGTTGCATTCACTTCCTCTTTTCGTTCTTCATCGCTGCACTGCACCGCACCGCACTGGTTCATCTTCTGCTTCACCATCTTCCTCTCCTTGCTCTATCAGCTACCATGTATCCATGACGATCCATTCCTTGTCTTGCTTCTTCTTCCCCCTAATACGGTTACGCAGGTTTCTTTCCACATCTCTTCCACCAGTTCCAGTGTTCTTCCACACAGGTTTCTTCACGCATGTTGCCTAATGTCTCCCATTGTTTCCTGATGACTGATTGATGTCAAGATGTCCTCATTAGTTTCGTCCTTCAGTTCAGTTTCTGTTCTGTGTGGTTGTTGAACTTCAACTGTGATCTGTCTATCACCAACTTCTGTGATGTGCTTCGACTCGATTTTGAAGGTAGGTAGGTAGGCTCCTTGCACTAGATAGTGAGTGGTGTGAACCACTTACATCTGCTCCCCTTCTTGATCCAATCTTGTGTTCAGTAGACTGCATCTCCACTTTCTTGTGATTGGAATGAGGTTGATGTTATTTTTAGTGTGTCCTAGTGTCTGGTGAAATCCATGTCGCTACCTCGTGAATATCCTTGTGTTTGTACACACTGTCTGACTCCAATCACCGAATCGTTGAATGCTCAGTAGTCTGCAAACAGTTCTCCATTCTCAGTTATCACTTCACCGAGTGATTCTCGACCCATGTTGGGTTCTCTTTCTGTGTTTTTCTCTCCCAGTTCGGCATTCATATCACCTATTAAAATTTTGATGTCTCCATCTGAGGTGGGGTCTTGTCGAGTACTGATTGCAGTTGTCTCTAGATTTCCTCCTTCTTCTCCTCATCTGCATTATTTGTAGGTGCACATTGTAGCATTGTACGACTGTGACTTTCCCTCCTTTTGAGTTGAACCTTGCTGTCATGATCCTGATGATGCAGGAGGAGGTTGGTTCCCACTGCATGAGAGCCTTCGATGCTCTTGAAGGGGACATCATGATAGCCACTCGGTAACTCAGTGTGCTCGTAGTTGTTGTCTGGGTGACCGCAGTAGATTACTGACTCTGCAGTTAAATGTTTGTAGAGTCCACTTCCATTCCACCTGCTTTCCCAAATTCATAGCGCTTCCATCCCATTTTTCCCCATCTCTTTTTAATCTAGGCAGCCTTGCCAGCCAACTTCAGACATCTTGCGGACATTCCATGTCCGTGTATTTACTTTTTCTTTCTTCGAGGGAAGAGAAGACGCATCTTCAAATTTGCTTCTGGAAGACGGATAGAGAGGTCCAGTGGTTCCAGATGTCAAAGATCAGTAATTCTTATGGCACATATGTGTTATCTGCAATAACATCCAAGCGACGTCGTGCACTAATGCAATAGGCAATGCAAACCAACCACCTCAAAGATGACGATAGATATTAGAATGATAGATGGCTTACTGAATATTTGTTACTTTAATCAACACTAAAGGTGTGGAACGGAAATGATTTAGTAATCATCTAGGACAAGTGAAAAATTCAGCCACCATATGAAACTGAAAAATGACTAGCACTAGAACTATAAAATAAAATAAATGAAAGTTGTGTGATTCTGTTGAAGTGACTGTAAACAACGAACTGTGGTTGAAACACAGTGAGGTAAATGATGGTTCATTGCTTTGTGACATATTAAATAACCAAATCTAATGCATAACTATATTTCAAAGCGGTTTCCGAATTCTGTGCTCACTTTTATTACATGAAAGTCAAGCAACATTCATTAGACTGCGATGTTAGTGTCGTGTAAAGATTGTTTCATCATTTTGTTCTCCATGTGAATCTAACAGAATTTAAGGCTGAGAAAAATAAATTTTCAAATGATGTCAGAATGCTAAATACAATTAAAACTTATCTAAGTAACATAACTTCGTAGTGTATTTGGAGGAAATATTTCAAATGGATTCAAAACTTGGAAATGACTGTGAGCCAAACACTTACTGATAAATAAACATTGATATAAACCAACCGGTATATACTAAATAAAATCAAAGTCAGAAATTTATGAACATCTAAATTATGCGAACACCTGTGCTCCAGTAAATCTGATCTTTTTAGAATGATCTAATGAAACCTCAGATCAAAGGTATAAATATGGACTGACTCAAAGTTAGCCACTACAAGGTTGAAATAGTTTACCGTGACCAAGAGCAGTCTAAGAGAAAACTGAAGACCAAGTATACGGTCTCCAAGTGAACTTCACGTTTGACAAAGTAATATGAACTGTTAATACGTCTCTGACAAAACATTATCAGGTTACAAAGTTATCAATTACTCATTGTGTGTTTAGAAAATCATTTTCGGAAGTAAACCTCTTTTGTGTTACTATGTATGAATTGTTTTCATTGTTTATTACTTCTTGTTCATTTTTTGATATTCAGACAGCGAAACAAATACTAATTTATTGATTTTAGCAGTTGAATAAATATTTCATCTCAGAATAAAAATGAAAATATCTACCGAAATGTCGTTTATCAAAATCCTGATAAACTCTGATCAAAAAATTTGTTTGTCTACTTTATCTGTATTATCAGTCGGTTTCACATACACTAAACATCTAAATTAAACAAATACAAACTCATGAACTGACGTCAGTTGGGGAACCATTGGAAATCTGGTAGCACTGGATAGCTGTTTCGTCTTAGTATGGGACTCCTCAGCACTACGCATCCACGACCCCACTAAGGATCGAACCCAGGACCTTCAGGTTTCATGGCGAACGCGTTAACCATTCAGCCACTGGGTCGGTTTCCGGTGGTTCACAATTTCCAACTTCTGTCAGTTCATGACATAGAGCGACTATCACCCAAGGTCTTCAGCTAGCCCCCACTTCACTTCCGACTGGTTGACCCCACAGATCACGGCTTCTAATTAGAGCTTCATGATATCCATCTAGGAGCAAGTCACTAATGAGCACTATACAGTAATGCATTTTCGAGATGAATGGGGATTTTTTAATTTGGAAGTAGTATTCATCATGGACTGAGTTCGATCTCTGGCCGGGTCGTGGATGGGTATTGCTGAGGAGTCCCATACTAGAACGAAACAGCTGTCCAGTGCTTCCAGATTTTCAATGGTTCCCTAACTGACGTCAGTCCATGATGAATACAACTCCTAAATTAAAAAATCCCCATTCATCTCAAAAATAAAGTACAAACTCACTTCATAGTACATGAAATGAAACTCAAATCTAAAAAGTTGAGATATTACAAAGATGTACTGCTGAGGTACTTAACTTATGTAGAGCTAGTCAGTTATTGCTTACTATAAAAATCGTAAAATGTTCAAGACTGATACAGTTTCGGCCTTAACCTGTATACGGTGTACAAGTTATGACAAGTAAGGGAATGAATATGTATCGCGCTTATCGAACCAACAACAATAATGAGTTTATTGTTTTCTATTTTTTTTTCTTTTAAGCTCTTAAGCAGCTGAAAAACTGTTCTCAAAATATTTGTTGTACTTTTGATATTTTCACACTTATTACATCCTCTCTGATACTCAGTCGTTTGAAGCATTAGGTTACTGTATTAGTTGGTGTACCGAGTTCTGTAGGCCTATCTATCTAAATAGGTATCAAGCTGATATTCATTGTTCCGACAGATTCTTTAATTGACTATAAATCAGTAAGTAAAGAAGTGTAGGAGGAGTGCTTATCTAAGTTAAGTGACATAATAGTGTTCTGAACATTTCGGTAAATATCGATCTTGGTGACTAGCAGAGGAATACAAGACGCGCGTTTCGTCCTATTTAAGACTAGTTAGCTGGATGTACCTGCATCCCAATTAGTGATGATATTCCCACCGAGGCTTGAACGCAGTATCTTTCGCTTCAGATTCCAAACGCGTCACCCACTTAGCCACTGGGGTATGAGAGCCACCTCTTGTTCAATGGATATCAGTTGTTGTAACGATACTTGTAATTTCCCGTTCCTATACGGCACCGGAGTGCTTGACCACTGTTGGCAGATGGGCTCCTGCCCTAGTAGCTAAGTGGATAATGCTTTTGAAGTTTGAAGCGAAAGGTACTGGGTTTGAGACTTGGTGGGAACAACATCACTAACTGGGATGCAGGTACATGCAGCTGACGAGTCCTAAATAGGGCGAAACGGGCGTCCCGAATCCCTTTGCTAGTCACTAAGATCAATATAAGATCATTAATATCCGGTACTATCGAGGCATCCACATAAGATTCCATCTGCCAACAGAGGTCGAGCAACTCGGCCCTGTATAGGAACGGGAAATTACAAGTATCATTACATTTCGGTAAATGTTAAAAGTGAAGTAATAATGACCTGGGTTGGGTAGTGCTTTTCATTATAGTAATACATAAAGCCCTAAAGTTTTATATTTTCAAGGATTTCAGCTAATGATGCATTATGAGGTCCACTAGTTCCAACTACAAAGCTAAGTTTACAATCAATTACCCACATGTACCAAAACACTGAGTATTTGACCAGTCTAAGCACTCAGTGGTATAGTATTGAATTCGAGGATAAATACTGAAACATTGAATGAGGGCCTTGGAAAATTCTTTGTCAGTTTACTGGCGAACCACTAGCAGGATTTCAAAGTTAAAACCTATTTTACATTTAGAATTGTTTACACAGTGGAATTCAGAAAACTAGTGATTGTGAACAATTTAACTTTAATCAGTTCATAATCTTATTCGTTTTTGGCAATGTTTTCTCTTTCATCTATCAGTCAAAATGTTTATAGGCTAATGGATCATTTCTTCCAATTAGAAATCTGCAATGCATTTCATGTGAGCAGTTTTTACAAGACTTTTTCTTTGATACCTGTCATGAAAAACAGATATGAAGTAGATAACGACTGGAAATTGAATGGTGCATGTGGCATAAGCTTTTAAAGTGAACTGAACATAAAGTACTGAGCTTTCTAACTGTTTGAACTTCTTTTCCAACCAATTAACCTTAAGAGATACCACTATCAGGTCCTACCTAGGTTGTGATCATGGTATATCCATCAAGTAAAAAATAGAAGCACTTTACGAAATGACGTGACTGCTCCGCATTGTTTTGACTGTGAGATTTTAATAATCAATCATCAAAAGATTGATTTCAAGAGTCACCTAGGAGAAACATCTACACCCTGAAAGAGCCAAATGAAAGCTACTACTCATCATTTAAATTCTTCGATGATGTATGTCTAGTGAAAATATGAGCTCCATAAAAGGAAAATTACCTGCTGTTTTTCTGATATCTTTTACAGAAGTTCCTTCACCACCAACCGATTTAGTGTGCTTGGAAAAGGGACCAACATTCGCCTTTCTACAATGGCTGCCTGCGAAACCATCGTCTAGCTCACAACAGCCTGCTTCACGTGCCGTTGATTCCTACACATTATTCTTAACGGAAATGGATAATGCACAAACAATTGCAAATAAAAAGCAGTTAACAGATATTCCTGCACGTCAGTTTCATTTGCATGGAGCATTACAGTATAAATTAACGGACCTAAAACCATATACAATGTATTCAGTAGAAGTGTGCGCAGTCAGTAATCTTTTGGGAATGTCTGATCCAAGTAATAAAATCAATTTTATGACAAAAGAACTGCGTAAGTTTCTACACCTTTCGTTAATCACAATATTTCTATAAATTAGGTTGCCATCACAAAAAGCTCAAATTTTTCAAAAAATATTGAGTATTAATTTTCTTTTTATATGTTCACTGAGTTATCGGTTCACCTAATGGCTTATAACTAACTGTGCAGATGTTTTGAGTCAATTATCGTAATACAATTACTATTCATGTAGAATGTGTAAGGAAGGATACGAGGATACAAAATGGTTGAAGCGCTTGCTGATATTCAGTATATTTTGTATCACAGTAATATACCTGTCGTCGACCTAAAGATCATAGGTTTATCTAACTGTAACCCAGGTGTTTTCTGAAGCTTTCTACATCTTAACTAGGTACAAATTCGGGTCCATCAAGTTAATTAATTAATTAATTAGTACATAAACAGCATATTTGTTTCATAGACTTGTTGGCTTGTTCTTATCTAAGTATCGGCACCTTGCATGAGACTGAAAATATAATAATATCTTTACCTCTAATAAAAATCACAAATCTTATCAGATCATGTGGGATAATATTAAATGTAACAATTAATAACAATGGTTATACTATCCTTATGAGTACAAAACGGATAATTTTTCTTGAGCCGGTAGGCTGATGAATGTACACTTTTATACGGTAAGCAAAGATCGGTCTTCAGGTAGGCTGTCCACTTATGGCACTGGATTGTAATATAGTAAGATGATCCAGCCAACTAAATGAAAACCCTCATAGAACTATACATGTACTTCAGTCATGTTTCTAAAAAAGTATAGAATTTTCATTTATAAGATCAAAATACGCATGGGTGATATTTTATTCTTCTATAAGTTCGAATGGAGTTTTTCCAAAACTTTATTTCATTTACTACTACACTTTGTCAGTACGCAACAATTGGACCTGACCATAGGTTAGGCACTTTCCCGACAGATGGATGACATAAACTTTACTGTGAAATATGAAACTACGCAAAAGCTCACTTTTTAGAACAAAAACTATTGAAATCATTGTATGGAAGTAGGTAAAAAGACTTGTCTTATCACTTGCCTAATGTACTAGTTATCGCCTAGCATACAAATTGAGGTTAATTTTCCTAAACTCATCAGTGCTATTATAAATATTGGATTCCTGCTTGTGTAAGAAATGGAATTATAGTTACACACTTTCTATCAAATAATTTTTCAAGAATCACTCATTAGAAACTAAAATCGGTAGATGATACAATGAGTCAATGTTTCTGAAATAATGTATTTTCTGTGCCACCAAACCCAGAATAGTTCCAAAAATTTAACTACCTGATGATGAATAACCCATCAATAAACATTGTTTGAAGTAGAAGAGCCAGTTAAAACAGCACTAAATGGCTAGTTCGACAACTAATCAGTTCACGAGAGGGAAATAAGGATGAACAGGACCACTTATTTGTTTACTTCCTGCACATTTAGGAGTTGCGACGTTGTAGGCATAACTTCACTTGGATTCTTTTATTCCAAACTTCATCACACAGATAAACTTTAGAACCTTATGGGTGTAACTGAGCTTACAAAGCTATAGCATTTTGGTGCCTAGTTATCTGAAATGGGAAGAAAACATGACATAGCTCCAAAATTATTTAAGGGAAGAAAATTTTACACGACAGATTGAACTATAAATATTTTCAACTAGAAAAATTATTGGAAAATACTTCTTAGTCTATAATGTGGATTATCTACCTCAATTGGTAGGAAAAAATGTTCAAGCATAGATTATTTTAAAACTCAGGAAGGATGCTTCATACACAGTAGCATGTATCGACAAAATTCTGTTTTATAAATGTTCTTTTTTATTTCGTCTGCCGATTCGCCTGAAATATAATGACTATATCTTATATACAATAAAGTAGAGCTCTCCTTTTTCTCTACATGACATGCTCAGTGACCTTTATTGACAGATAAGTAAATAAGATAATATCATGCATTGCATTTTCCATTTATTCACACAAATCTGACCTATAGTAATGAGAACAGTCAATCGCTTTGAGGGATTTTTAACCTCGAAAATCTCATTTGATATTGCTACTAATAATATTAGAAATTCTAAGGTTACATATATTCTGTCAATCATTTCTGCTGTTAAGAAGTGAAGGTGTGCATAACAGAAACTAAAACAGTTTCTAGTGGAAAGGGCAAAAAGTTTTCTTTTCTAAAAACAAAAATGTTTCTTTTTAACATCTCAACTAAAAACAGGAAACTGAAGTGTAATTTAACAAAAAACTTCACTCCATTTAAATAAGAAATATACTACTTCCACTGCTACTATTATTACTACTACTATTAATGCTAATACTATCATTAAAACTCACTGCTGCTATTTTCAAGTTTCCTCGGTGTAATTTCTGATGCAAAACAAGGAATCAGAAACTCTTAAAATTTTTAATGTAATTTACTGAACACAGTTTTTTGGGTATTAAATTAACAATCGCTATTATAGTAAGTATCTCGTCTTAGAGTTTTCTGAAAGTGACATGAACACAACGAAACGTTTAGAAAACAAGGTACAGAAGCAGTAAATATGGGAATAAGAAGAAACTTCTTCAGAAATTCAAGTCTCAAGGCAGTACATCACGTGCTGAGGCTACTGTTAGCTGACTGGAAGGAATTTTAAACTACCATAAGCATCTTCCAAATTTTCTCCTGAATCGACAGCTTTCATTACATTCAAGGGGTTTTGCATCTTCTGACAGAATTTCAGTATTCAGTAAGATACGGTGGCAACTTTAAAACAGGTGCTAACTCATCGACAGATTACAAAAACACAGAAAATTCTTCCAGATTAATCAATTGCCTTAAGTAACTCAGCAATTTGTTTAACTATTTCAAATCACTATAAGTCCCCATTACAATTCAAAAGCTAGTTGAGTGAACAAAAGATATTCCTTCTAATAACTTCCTTAGATTTTCCAGTTACATATGATTTTTGTTGATGAATAATTCCTTAGTATGTAAATATAACTGTAGAACCTGAAGAAGAAGTTATCAAAAGCAATATTCTTTGTTCACTCAACTAGCTTTTGAATTGCAATGGGGACTTATGCGTAAGGATATTCAAATTATTTAAGTCGACAAACTAGAACAAAAAGCATACAGTTCCCATCAGAGGTACATTGGTAAATAAATAGGCAACATCTGGTTAAGGCATTACCTTGTCAGATACGTTTGCATTCTTGACAGTTTCCAGAATTTCGAAGGCATATTTTAAGGATTGCTTTGCTAATATTCTAGTGACTGGTCCCAGCATTTCTGTCAACCATCATGCCCTAAGGATTCAGACATATCCAGTGTACTGTCAGGTGGTAGAATACATGTTAATGGTGACTTAAGTTTATACCCGAACCAGTAAAGTGTCAAGATTCAACTGAGAGGACTTTGACTACTTTCATTTTGATTAGTATTGGGTTGAGATGACTTACTCAAGCAATTAGTATGATGTTAAATGAATAATTACGAATGACTTATTCATATAAAACTAGTCAAAACTCTGTCAGTAAAGTTGGCTCAGGTGTGTTTAGCAGCTAAGTTTTGTGGTGTAATCAGTAATGACTGAATTTTCTAAGCACTCCCAAGAATCGGCAAAAATAAGCCAGGGTATTCGGAAAACTGCTTTAATTTCACCTTCTGGAATGATGGTCCGTACTCTTGATGGACTGTATTTGTGGAGACTTTTGTTGTAAAGCTAAGTTTAAGGCAGGGAAAACTCTGTGGCTGAATATATGAAACATCATAATGGGTAATACTATACTATAGGAAATCCATTACAATACAACTTGATAAAATTTTAATGTGAGGACACACAAACAGGTTCTGCATCACTGCGTTAATCCACTTATTTTACAAACATCTCACCTGAGAACTCTGTCTTGGAAGATGGTAATTTGTTCGCTTGTAAATTGAGATGCAAGAAACACTTATGTTAGATATAACTGTAAGAATTTTATTGATATATCACTTTTTTCAGTGATTACCTACTCTTGTTTAAACTGTTTATATATTGCTTTGTCCTGATTGTTAACCCCCCAACAATTTCAGGGTTCGACACCACTTTTCGTGAAAGTTCGATAACGTCTCAGAGAAAAAACTCCCACCATGCTGCGAGCAAAAATGCATTTTACTCACATAATAAATCACTAATTTTACTTCGAGAATTTGATCTTCAGTTGTCACAAATTCCAGTAACCTAGTATTTGCCTAAGCAGGATTTACAAATTATTCACTTCCATGGTTTGTCACGACTCAATTCACTTCATAGCGGTTTTCATGATACATCTGTATCATCTGGAAGAACACTGAAAACCAAAGGCCAGTAAATTTCAGTTGCATCATACTTTAAGGCTTCTCAGCATTGCAAACGAATTACTCTATGTCGCCAACCTTTAGTGGTGTTAATTACGCAACCAAGATCATTTATCCCAGCTACAAATATTCTGAACCATTTCAAGACCTTTATCTGTTTACTATCCCCAGCTCAAACGGTAATGAAGAGGCCAATAGGAAGCGACATGCCAAGAATCAGGTTCCCTTACAACTATAGAAATTATTCTGACATAAAAATAATATTTTCATTATTGAACAGTTTAAAGACAATTTTATAACCAATTATTCATTGTATCACATTAGTTAGCAGAAATTCAGCACAAAGTTGAACTTATTCTCTTCTAAACGGATAAAAAAAATTGAACAGAAAAGTTCCCTCCCATCTCTGCAAGAAAGCTGCATATCCAACGTAGTTTTAGTTAAGTTTGATGTCCAGTATATTAGGGATTTGTTGTCCAAAATCTTCATCCGCAGTAACGATCACGTAAGCTTGACAAAACCATGCTGAATATGAGAAAGTACCAATTCAACGTCGGAAAACAACTTCTGACTATGAAGAACGGCATGACTGTGGCAATCCACATATAATAGTGCAGTGTAAACAAAAAGACATACTAATATGAACCACAGATCTGCATAAAACCTATAT